TTTAAATGCAAAAGTTCTCTCTGATTGCCAACTTCAAAACAAAGGAAAACACCCCAGAAAGGCTTTCTGTTTCAGGGAAATGAAACACTCCATCAGTGGCTCTTAAGTAAGTGCTCTTCATCCAAATTCAATGAAAGATGGCCCTGCTCACTTTTAGTAACAGGTGAACTTCAAACTACCTGATTTTTCTTTGAGTCTATAGAATTAATATGGAGTAACTTGATACTTTACTGCCCACACGATACCAACTTGCTTTTACAGTGTGAGGTAGTTTAGAGTGATTCAGCCTTAATTAAAATAAAACTAGGATATTTAAGCTATTTTTATTAGATGTAAGATCCATAGGCAGAATTGATAGGGAAACTGCTGGTGAGCTCATCTGAAATAACTGCTGGATGCTCACTGTTATTCTCTGATAAATAATGAGGCTCATTCATATTTGATGAGGACTGGCTCTTTCTGGTTATCTTACTCTTATCACTGATCACAAATAAACATGTAATTATTTTGCATTATCTCTGTATTTGTTCATCCTTTTATGTTCACCCTGCCAGTCCAGGTGTTTTGTCAATTTTCATCATGTCCCACCCAAAACTAATGGGATTGCTCCAGCCCTTTCACCTTCCTGTTCCAGCTAAATTCCTCATTTCAATTCACCAAGCAAGAACTCCTTGACAAACTCACAATCTTACCTACACTGTCTTGTACCTTCAACAGAATATAGGAATCCTTCTCTGGGTATCACAGTTGAGCCTATTATGTTAAGATAAATAGGACTTGGAAAATAACTGGGAGCTGGATCCAGCTGAAGTGTATGTTTGAAGTGTGCTTTAACTATTGATTCCATACTTTTGGACAGTGTTCAAAGGCACATGGCTGCCACTCTGGATGACACTGCATATCTGTCTGGTTCAGAAGTTTAGGACTCTGGAAAATTTTCTGATAATACAGCTGATTTTATCTGTAGGGCTCTAAATCAAACCTGAACATGATAAGGAACTGCCTTGGATAAGGGATTTTCTTAAATTCTGCTCAATTTAATCCTACAGGAAAAACTGTGGCAAATCTACTAACATAAACAAGAACTTTAGAAAATGCAAGCTCACAGCCTAAATGGATAGTTGGTAAATGAGCTGATCAGCTACTGAGCAACAGTAAAGAGAACAAATGGATATTTACTCTAGGATAGGAAATGAATACATAGATTTGTTTTATTGTCACTCTCTTGCTAACAAGAGGCAGACAGAAATGCTAGAAAAATAAAGGAGGCCTAGAGTTAGAAGTCTAATTTTTTTATCTAAATAAGAAACATCATTAAAAGCAACTGAACAAAAGTAGCTCCCACAAAAAGGCAAGGCCATCAGCAAGAGTTAAGTATATGTAAATGGGATTTACTTCACTGAGAGCAGTGTACTCTCAGCACCTCAGAGGACTCATTCCAATACAATACTGCAAGTGATTATGAAGCAAATATGCATTACCTTAAATAAACCAAAGCAAGAGACAAAGCAAATTATTTTGAAGTGCTTTTACTCTGTAACTTCATTAAAGGAGGTTGTTTATTCTCAGAGGGGAACTAGAAACTGAATATTAAAATCTAAAATTACAGAAATGTAAATCTGTTTATGGACCAAGGTCAAAGAGAGTTCTATTATGAACAAGGCTATCATCTACACAGTTAGAAATATTTTTAAAATATTTTTTAATTTTTGATAATAATTTCTTTTTGCTTTTATCTAACATCCTCCTCACCACGTTTGCTTATTTTCTTCCCTGCAATCTTTTCTGGGTTTCCAGGGCTCCTCACTGAAGACCTGGTATCAGGGTTTTTCCTTATTTTACTTTTCAAAACTCCATTGGAATCGGGAATTAAGAATCTCACCTTGGAACATAAAGGGCCGAGTCAACAGAAGGTCTAAATTATCCTTGCACTCTTTATATTAATGTGGGATTAGCTGATGTGTGCTAACTCCCAATTGCCAGGTCTTACTTAACTGTAAAAATGATTCTGCTATCTGCATGGAGGGAGTCTGATGGGAAAGATCAAAGGAGAAAAAAGAGCAGAGGGGAAAAGGAATGGGAGGAAGAAAAGGGAAAACAACAGTGGGTTCTTTACTGAAATAATTCACAATTCAGGACTGTGACATTTTCTTACTTTTTGATCTGTTTTCCTATTTGCAGCAAAGTCATTGATGCCAAAAAGGACCCTTCATATGCTATGCTAGAATCATACCAATCTATAGAGGAAAAAAGCAAACAAGATCAGCTTTATGCTTATTTTCAGAGGTAAACCATACTGAACCACTGAATCTTGGGGGGAAAAAAAGGAAATAGAAGTTTCATCAAAAGACATAAGGCACATTAAATGTTATGTACACAGTATTTTTGAAGTTGTTGCAACATATTTTTCTCTAACAAAACTGTAAGAACTGTGGGGTGGCTTTCATCTGTCTTTTAGCTTTTAATTGGTTTTATGTCTCTTTCCTTTATATATAACTATGCATACACCCACACAAAGATTCAAACATACATATGCATACATTCATTTCATTTATAAATATTGATTAATGTTCTTAATAATGAAAAAAATCAAGCAGAGATCCTACTCCCCATAATAGTTCTGAATTGCAAGTCATCTTTTGGATTGCTCTGAATTGTCTCGTGGTACTTGTAAACACAGTAGTAAATTACAATATTGTAATAATTGTCATGGTGCTTGATATTTACACCAAAACACTTCAACATAGCACAATCACAGAAACTTACTTCTGTCCTCATAGGTTGGGAAGCTTGAGTTCTGGATTTCTCTAGTACTTCTAACATTGTACTGTATGCAAGTTGCCAAATAATGGTATTTCATTTTAGTATAAATAAAATACTGCTTATTTGTAATTGGCTATCCAAGAGAGAATGAAGAAGAAGATGGAAGCAGAAGCAGCAAGTAGACAAGCAGATGTGGATGTGCACTTGGATACCAGACCTCTGGATAGCAAAGGAGCATACAGTACCCAGCACCCTGAAGATCAACAGCTCAGAAAACACTGCCAGGAAAGCTCTGCACTGACTGGGGCATGTCAGATCACAAGATAATGCTCTCACAAAGGGATGCACAGGAGTTCAACTCACTCTACCTCCTCCTGCTCAGAGCACCAGCAGAAGAAGCAAGCTGGGCAATCTTCAAATTTTCAGTTTTACCGAGTCTTTGGAACAGACCCAAATAATTTCCGTGGTTGAAGCTCATTTTGCCTTTTGAGACTGACTGTGAAAACCCCACCAAACAGAAACACAATGGTGATGGAGCCTGGGAAGCAGTGGGTGCCAACAATGCCAGACTGGAATGATGAACTCAAGCAGTTTGGCCACTGATAATTCCACAACGGATGGGGATGTTCCAGGAACGAGGAGATGCGCAAGGCTCACAATGGCTTATTCAGCATCCACAAACACTGAATAAAGAGACTCCAAAAAAGAAACACACACAACCACAAAAGCCAAGCCAGGAGAAGCACTGATTCGGGAGGTTGTTTTAGAGAGATGAACATGACAACCAAATGGGAATGAAAGGCTGGACCCAGGTAGCAGGAGGTAAGAAAAGATCATGGCAGTTACGATGCAGCAAAGCTGTCAGTGATACAAGGACAGATCACGCCGCTGCTGTCAGGGAAATGGAAGAGGATTTTTCATTGCTGTGGGAAGATCAAGGCATTAAAATTACATACGTACATACGTCAAGAAGTGAAGACCAATTGCAGGACGGATACAGGAACCTTTAAGCAGCTCCTTTTAGGATTGTGTATGTGACTTCAGAATGCCTGATCCAAGAAAGCCTGGCAAGTGTTTAAGACCTTCTATGGTGCTTTGCAAAAACAAAAAATATTTTGTGACTGAGAACACTTTCTGTGACTTCTGGTATGTTTGAGGAAGGCCAGTGATGCCACTGGGGAATCTCATGGATGGAATGAAGGGCACAAGTTTGTTGCCCTAATATTCTTCGTACTTGATTGGGCTTAAACAATGAAAGGGTGCTTTTTTAAAACCATGTTTGGAAACAATTTGTTTTCAGCATCTTGGGTCTCACAAATCGCTATTGTTTTGAAACCACTCAGGAGAGTGGAATATGTTACAAATTTACATACATATGGTCTGTACTTGAGTTAGAGGATAACAAAAGTGTCATGGGGCTAAACTAGTGTCAAAGAAAAAAAAAATCACAAAGAGCAGTCATTGCTTCTTTGTGGTTCTAGCATATTCCCAGAGGCTCAAAGGTCAACATAGGAGAAGGAAAAAAAATATTTTAAAAATGTAAAAAACCTATTGCTTACAATATTACTGCTGCCTGTCTTTATTTCTGCAAAAGGTTGTATGTAAGGAGTTTGTAGTGTTCATTGAAAATAACTGAAATAACTGGGTGGTATTAGAGTATATAATCACTGTGTTTGCAATAGGACTTAGAAACAGCATATGCATTAAAATTTAAAGTATTTTGCTGGCCTTCCAGAGTCTTTTGCTAAACCTAGTGTGCATTGGAACCTGAGTGAATGAATCCCATTAGTCATCACCATCTTAACAATATGCACTTCATAGAGAGTTGGCTTCTGCACAGAGGAAGGAAATTACCAGTACTAACAAAGGAAGGAAGATTTATAACGAGCAAATATACAAAAGCTCCAAATAATTCTAATATTCACAGTTTGGCAATGACTTTCTAGGCTATGAAATTACTTTTCTTTTGGAAAAATGAAGATTCTACAAGGTTAGTATAAACAAAGGGTAATTGGAAAATCAAATTGTTCTACACAAGTTATTGTAAGGCCTGGAATAATGGTGATAGAATTTAAAAAAACCAAAACCAAACAAAAAAAAACAACAAACCAAAAAACAAACAAAAAAAACTTGCTTATGATTCAGTGGATTTTTGCTTTGCACATTATTGCAATCAAAAATTCTCCCTTTCAAGTGCTACATGGGAAACAAATGGCTAAACACAAATCCCAGCTTACCCCTGATACAATGAGTTCTCCTCCCAGGTTCTGAACTTCTGCCTTCACTTTGCTGCAGATATTGAGCTGGTGGCAGTAGAGGGCAATGCGCTGCAGGTAGGCCAGCAGATCCTGCTTGCAGGCTGAGTCTGGGCACTGCAGACAACACAAACACTGATCAGATGGAGCCGAGTTCATGGGATCAGAGACAGGTAATCAGATAGTGGCAGTGTGTGTATTAGGTGGATCTATTCCACTTTGTCTTTACATGAGGTACTAGATAAAATCTGAAAACTCAAATTCTACCTTTCATTTGACTCAAGATTTATGAATTGCAACCTAAAGATGCACTCTACCTTTCTGGAAAATGAGAAACCTCTTTATCGGCATTATGAAAATAATAATTTTAAATTATGCTCCGCAATTATCTATGGAATTGTACTGAACACCCAAAAGGTCAGGTTTAACTTGAAACTCCAGGTTGCCTGCTGGACATCCAAGTTAACATCCAGTATGGGCCAGTTAATGTCCAGATACACCCAGTTGTGAGTGGTTACCCCCACGCCAATGCCAACCCCTGTCTGCCTGGCAGCTCCCCTGGCATTTGTGCAGACATTCAGAGGATTAGATTAGCAATGTGCTGGATGCTGTGAGGGTTTCACAATCAATAGAACTAGAAAGAGCCCCATTACAATTTATTCATAGTCTCTGGGACTCAATAGAAACTGCATCATCCCTTACAATATCAACAGCATAACAAACAACAGCCTTGTAGTTAATATTCCAAGCCTTGCCTCAGGAGAGCAGACCTCAGTAATTCACTCTGATGAAAAAGAGCTGAAAGGACCCACTGCTAACAGCATGTCCCCAGTAAATACTCTTTGGGGCTACCCAGCAAAGTCTGACTGACAATGTTCCTGCATGGCTTGGGGAACAAAGATTCCAAATATGCCTTTTTATCACCTTACAGAGTTCATGCTCAATTAAAAAAAAAATATTATCAGAGCATTTAAAGGAAAACTGATAGAATTAAATGCACATGAGTCAACAACATCACAGCTCCAACCTTGAGATCACTGGTCTGGCCCCAGCAGCTCATGCTGGCAAGGAATGCGCTCATGGTGAAGTAGTTGGATATATTGTTGTCTATAACCCCAAATGGAGCCACTTGGCTTTTTTCTTGCCCTTTAAAACTAATAATAAACAAAGCTGGATCTTCACTGTGGCTGCTGTAGAGCCTCTCTTCCTCAGACAGTTGCCACACCTTTCAGGCATTAATCCCTCAAAGAAATCTTCTCCCTACTGATGGCAATTTAATATAAAAATATTTACTCAGTTCTTGAAGTCTCTGAACTGAAAGGAATGAATTTAAAGCAATACTTCTGAAGAGTTGTCAAGGCTTTAAATATAAATACCTTGGAGTTAAAAAAATGTAAGGGCTCTTTCATTGGAACAATAATTAAAAATGCAACTGTCCACAAAAAGGTTTATATTGCTTGAGGGCCCCCAGAGTTCTGTGAAATATCATGAAAGTGTAAGCATTAAAACAAATACTCTCAAAATAATTTCACTGTTTATTATTAGGGTTACAGTCCTCTGAAATTTAAAATATGACTCAAGCCAAGGCACTCTAAGCCTAACAAGTCTCCTTCTGTTTCTTTCTTTAAAATATTCCACCTCTGCAAACACTGCAGACCAGGAATTTCATCAGCTGACAGATGGATTTCTTCTTTCTTGTGTTAAAATGAACAGATGCTACAATTGAAGGACTGGAATGGGTTAACTACAGGAAAAATGCTTGCTGCTGCTGAAGAAGACCTAAACCCAACATTTCTGGGGCTACAGGAAAATGGAGGCTTTGGGGTTTTTTTGCCACTCTGGCCCATATTCCATGGCAAGGTGTGTTACACATTATGACACTCTTACTTGAAGAGGAAAATGACATTCTTATTTTGAAGAGAAAGAGGCAAGGAAGTTAACAGCTCCCACTTCCAGCAAATTTTCTCTTGATGACAATGAAATTAAAGAAACTATAAGAAATTTACAAAGGGAAAAACAGTGCAGTTTAATTTGTCTAAATCTAAAATTAGCTAGGTAGGACCTGGATTTAAATTTGGCTCTTGACTTTTAATACAATGCTTCCTCTTGCTCTCCAGATGAATGGATAAATCTGAAAATATACATACAGCAAGGTCATCTGTCCAGCTGTATATATATTTTGAATTTGGTAAAGGAAGTGGGGACACAGACCCCACAGCATGCACAACACACTGAGGCAAACCAGAAAATAGGGAGTCAGAGAACCTTGAAGAAGGAAAGAGCCAAATCAAGAGAAAATTGCTGGAAGAATGAGCTGAAAAGAATCTAAGCACTCCAAGGGACTTGGCAAGGGAAACAGAGCATCCAAACCCTTACTGCTTTTTTAACAGCAAAGACATTTTGGAGGTGATGATCTCATAAATCTTTTCCAACCTGGAGGAGTCTCTGTCTAATTCTAACAGGCTCAGAAGTGAGGCCTAGGAACAAGCCAGGCATTTCTGAATTTTGGAGAAACTCATTTATGAATTTTCTGTTCTGCAAAATGCTGATGGGTCTAGAAGAACCAATGGGAAGATCTGGATCCAGATTCCCAACAGGTGATTTTCTGGTAAGACACTTTTCCTGCAAAAGGCAACCCATGCATAGAAGTTCCATCGTGTTTCAGCTCATTTTGGGGCTACCTGATCAGCTACTGCCCGTGCCAGTTTGTCCATCCTGGATCCTGCCTCTGCAATCTTCTTGGCTGCATTAATGACATCAGATGTGTTCTTCAGGGGGCCTTTCCCTCTGTGAAACACAAGACAATTACCCACAATCTCAATAAATCACGAAAAGCAACACTTTTAGTGACCCTGTTTAGTGCTCATTTTTAAAATAGTAACACAAATGTCTTCCTAATTTATTACAATTTTGCCTTTTAAGTACTTTATAGTACAGCTTGATTAAGAAATCTTTCTGCTGTATTTCCTCTCCCTTACCAAATGCCTCAGTGGCAATTTAGTCTGATGGTGCCTTCAAGCACATGAGCTGTACTTAATAGTATATGCATTTTTAAGTGCTCATTAAGCCAATGTTGTTCCTGGAATACACAACTATTTCAAAATGATGTGATTCCCAAGCCAGTGCTAAATGTTCAGCCCATCATGTCTAAGGCAAGAATGTCACATTTTAGAAGACATTTTTTTAGAAGATTTTTTGTTGGAAAATAAAGAGAGGTGAAGCATAATCATTATGTTACACACTTGAATGTTACACTTAAACCGTTTCTAATTAGCTTTAGGTCTGATCTTTCACCATATTTTTAAGATGTTGCACAAAATTCTGATTTTAGTCATTAAAGCTACCAAAATGTATTAAGACAGAAGGTCTCCACAGACTTCTGTGAGTTTTCATCAGACTCAAAACTTTAATCCTGCTTGTACCAAAAAAATATTGCTGCTGCTTCTGAGAAAGTCTCAACTGGAAGTGAATTCATTTTCCATTTTTTTTTAATGTGGAAAATGACAATATGATCAAACTTTTTTTTTTTTTAATTAAAGAGAAGTCATTTTTTCTAAGCACAGCACTGCATTATTTTTGGAATTTTTTAAAATCTATAATAGCAAGAATAACGTGCTGAAACATATTTCCATTTTAATCTTCCTTCCAGACTTTCATTACCACTTTAAACAGATACAAGTATCCCACTTCTGGTGAACTTAAACTGCAGCAAAAATACTTCTTGGTGACCTCGTGTGCTTCTACATTAATTACATGAGCAGCTCTGACTGTCACAAACACCATGCATTTGAAAAATTATTCTATTCTAACACAGCTGAGGTTACAGCCAACCAAAAAGGTGTGAAAGGCTTGTTTCTGTTTTAATGGAATATATTGAACAACTTGTTATTTAATCTGATGCAGACAGAGGTGCACTTTGATTTTTTTTTTTTTTTAATTTACTTCAAATGTGTCAGTAGTCTTTATCTCATTCTCAAATTAGTTTTGTTCTTTTGTTGCTAGAAAATACAATTATAAAACTTCCAGTTTCATGGTCAATATATCAAAGGTTGTCCAGGAGGTTGCAGAAACTGTGCATATTCTGGGCTGTTTCTTTAGAACATCATTTCTTCCTTCCATGATATAATCACAATGTTTGGGCAGTTTTCACTCTATGTTTTGCTGACAGAAGGATCAGAGACAATACAAATACAAAAGTAACACATAATTGTGTAAAATATCCTCTCCATCCACTTCCACCCCTTGCCACTATCCCAGGTTGCTGCAAGCCCCAACCAACTGAGCTTGAACACTTCCAGGGATGGGGCAACACAAAGAGATGAATAAATGGATGTCTGATTTTAATCCTGGAAAAAAAAATCACAAAGATTTTCATCCTGTTTTGTGTAATCACATTTTGATAAATACCATTTACACTTTTGAACCCACTTAAAAAATAAACACTGAACAAAATTTAATTTACTACAGTGATCTGGAATTCAAAGAATCTTGTAAACCTTTCTCCCTGGTGTGATTAACAACATGGCCATAATAAAAGACAATAATTCTGTTTATATTGTATCATTAATGAATGGCCTCTGCAATTAGAGAAGAATAAGGCATCAATAGAGAAAAGAAATGAAAGTAAAAAAAAAAAAATCATTACTGACAGACTCCCACGAAGCATGAGATCAAACCAGTTTCATTTCATTTGGGATTTTTTTTGGAAGGAAGTTCAATGTTCAAATGATATAAATAGTTTTGCCATTATTTTTGATTGACACAAATTGTGCTGAAATGTTGAAAGTTCAGAGAGCCACATGCACTTAGATGGGTACTAAAGGAAATGTCACTGGAGTGTCTGTAAGGTCACAGACTAACTTTACAAAATGATCTGCAAATAAAAGAGACTTGCAAATAGCACAAAAAATTTATGTGATTAATCCCACTTGGACAAACACCCAGAGCAGTGGATATGATGAGCATTCCTTGGCTTTGCATCCCCAAAACCACAGCAGATCATCTCAAAAGGGTACAAATCAAGCAGAAGAGGGGAGATGTGGCCCGTCTGAGCTGCTGAGCTGGGGTTGTTTTGTCCTTACCTGGTGAAATCTGTCATTTCCATCATGATCATGCACATCTGCTTGGCCAGCACAATGATGTCATTGCCACTGTCATCCCACTTGGCCACCTCTGCATCCAGCTTGCTCTTCTCTTGGTGGAATATCTCCACCTGCTCAGCAATCTTTGCCTTCTCCTCCTGGGGCAGCTGGGCCATGATAGCCTGGAGAAAATACAGGGGTTGGGCATGAAAAAAAGGGAGCTACAAACTGGATCTTTCCAGTGGCCCCAACAGCTTGAGTTACTTTTTATGGGAGCTGAAGATGCAAAGTCCTGTAGGCATTTGATTTCTGTCAGGACAGGTACAAGCACATTCACAGCGTGTTTATGCCTCTTCTTGCACTTTCAAGATGATAAAATTTGTATTTATGATGTCGTGATTATTCAGCAGTTGACAAAGGAGAATTAAACCTCAATTTTGAGGAAGAACAAAACAAGTGACATTTATGGGAAAAGGCAGACTGAATTGCTGTGTCTCCCCTCGTCTCATCCTCTGTCAGAAACAGAGGATTTCAGATTAACACAACACTAAAATAAGCTATGACACACAAGACAATACATTCGAAGTGAATTGTAACAAGTGTATCTTTTAATGATATTTAGTGTTCCGATTTTCTCTTGCAAGAGATGCAAGAAGGCACTGGACAGGTTGGTACTGATCTGCCTCAGCATGAACAAAGCACAAAGTTCCTGCTCCCCTCCAAAAACACCCTAAAAAAATTATAATAATTACTTTTGAAGATCAAATGGACACTTTGAATAATGATTTCCAAGTTAAGCTATTATTTGGCTCTAGGGGTTCTGAAGACCACATTATGCATTTAATGGGGTGTGACACATATTTAAGTGTCATTACATTTTTTCCTTGTTTATGTCACTTTCAATCAGCTGCAGTCTTTTTCTACATTTTCTTAAAATGCTCTTGGCTTTTAAAAATTCGTAATTGACCTTTTCCCAAACTGAAATTAAAAAGGGTTATAAACAGTAGATCAGAAAATGAGAAATTTGCAAGTTAATCAAATTAAAATTCAAGACGAGTTTTAATTAGGCCTTATCAATGTAACTCAGCAGTTTCAAATGTGAGCATAATAGTCTTTGCACAGAAAAATGCAGTATAAGTCAAGTCAATAAATAAATATATAAAATGCACCTAAAACAACAGAATTGAGGAATTAGCTGAAATTAAGACAATTTGATAGGAGTAGTGAAATTTGGGAAGTTTATCTGTATGACTTGCCTGTGGGTTCTTAAGTGGCTGCTTCACCTGAGCACTCTTTAAGCTGGTAAACAGTGCTTTAATAATTCTGTTCCAGCTGCTGATGTGCTTTCAAAGCAGCCATATCCTACAGCAAATGCAGCCTCTAAATTCCACTTTTATTTCTACTGAAGACCAACACAAGTCTTTCTGCTAAAACACTCACCAGCCTTATGGAGTAAGCATATTAAACAAATCCATTATATGGCACAAATAAAAGTATTTTGCATCTTTTCCACAGGAAAGGTTCAGGCAGGATTCTATTCTGCTCAGCACTCCAGAACGGGGACTGGACAGCTTCTGCTTAGCATTGTTTCCCTTTTAGGATTTTATAATTTGTTTCTTCCTGTGCCACATTGCAATCTATGTTATTCAGGAACTGCCTTTATGATATATTATGTTTATACAGTGTGTACCTGATCAAAGCAGAAGGATTTAAGTGCAGCAGTAGTAATAACCACAATAAAAATGTAGCAGAATTCAAGAACCCTAAATCCCCAGGTGAACTCGATTCTTAGTAAGAAAAATTACTGCAGTCTTTACTTGGGTTTCAGATCAAGAAAGGATGACATGCTACCCAGACCTAAATGTACCCAAATAGGTGAGAAAGGCTGTGAAATCTGACAAAATAGTCTGTACTGTATCTCATTTCTGTTATACCTGAGATTTGCTTTAGTGGTCCATACTTTGAATATCTCAAACAGGAGTTTATACCCTTTAAAATATAAAAACCACACAAGATATTCAACTACATCCAGAACATTCTGTCACCAGCCTCACAGTAAAGAATCCAGGTATTTTTTGCCTTAGGGATGTCATGATAAAACTCCCATTTTTCTGATGCATGGTATGGTTTATTTACCATCTATATTCAATATTTGGGGAAATAATTTTAAGACAAAAAGAAATCTCTGACAATTTCACTGGATCCATGCCTTGCATTTCTCCCACACCTCTGAGTAAGCTCCTTTAAGATTTTTGTTACTCCACTGTTTCTTTTCAGGGTGTAAAACCTTTGTGTCAAGCCCCAGCCTACAGCAGCTGAAAACTCTGTCCTGGTCCTCTGAGCTTTCACAGCATCTTTGCCTGCTGGTCTTTAGGTTCTCAGCCCTACAAATCCTCTTCCAGACTCCAAGGTAAGAAATCCCCATTCCAGTTACAAACTTTTGCTGCTGTTTGAGTGTATGGGGAGGATGCTTCTTATTTAGTCCATAGCTTCACTTCTAGCACAACAGAACAAATCAGACCTGTGTGAAACAGCCATGAAAATCATTCAGATAATTCCCAGTTTCCTGCTGGTTGTCTCTTGGAAAATGTTAAAAGATGCTTTTCTTTAAAAAAAGCTTTTCTTTAAAAAAAAACCCCTTTTTCTCCAGTCAAATGTATTTTCATGATGCATAAAATTATATTCTGATTATTTCTTTTTTAATAATCTGAGCTGAGAAGACTATTCAGTAAACATTCATCAGAGGATGGGATAATCCTGAGTGTTAACAGGCATATTTCTGAGTGTTAACAGACTTCACTTCCCCAGCACCTGTGACCCCTGAAGCACTCATCAGCTTAATTTGCAATCCCCATGCACAAGCTGAGGTCGCAAATCACAGTGACTGGAGTTTATCATGATGTAATTACCCTGGTAAAATTACATTGACTCAGTAGCAAATGTCTTCAATTACAATTAAATTACAGGGACTACTCAGTAGCTTAAACAGATCTTCTTGACAGGTTTGCACACTGGGAAACATGACTAATGTAAGATTTCTCTGGATACAGCACATGGTGCGCTGATGGGATTTTTTTTTTTTTTTTTTTTTAATTTGCTGACTACTCCCACAGTTTCAGCACATTCCAAACCTGCAAAGCCTCCTCTTACAGCACTAGCTGGAGCAAGCAGCTGATACTAGGCACCACGAAAGCCTCGAGACCATTCAATAAATACTACTTAAAAAGGTTTGACGTGAAAAAAAAAATCTTCAACAGCTCCGTCAGCTTGGTCCCATCCTTTCTTAAACAACCCTGAGGACTGGAGATCACCTTTGCTTTCTGAGGCAGAGATGGTCACTGCTGGACACACAGGTGGGGTTTGCACTCACCCTTGCACTCTGGCCAGCGATGAGCTGGTCATCCTCGGTCTGGACGCTCGTTCGGCTGCGCACGTCGTAATCCTCCTGCTCGAAGTCCGAGTCGTCCTCGAGCTCCTCAGGGGTCTGCAGGGACACACAAAAGCCACAGAGAGGAGGTGACAAGCTCAGAAAGGACACAGAGCAAGTCCTCTGCACAGTGAGCTCTTATTTCATTGACTGCCAGCCCAGGAAATGCTGTTCTGTTCTTCTCTGAAGTGAATTTGTCTGCCCTAGCAGTCAGGAACTGAAATTGAATTGTCTTAAAAATTAAATTGTTTCAACCCTAGTTTTCTTTACAAATGGCATTTGTTATTACCTTGCCACAACTTTTCTTGCTGCAATTTCTCTTAACTCTGTTAATATGATGAATGCAGTTCCAGGAACAAATATCCTTTGGAAACACTAACAACTGGAATGCAGTATTTTAAAATTATGTTATTTCATATATAAAGGGCCACTAACAGTATTATGTTACTAGAAACTACAAGTAATCTTCAAAAGAGAAAGTAAATACCTGGGAAAAAGCAACTAAAATCCTGAAAGAAAAATTTATCAAAGCAAATAAAATATTTCCCATTGAAAGAAACTGTAAATTATGTCAAGTGGTTTTGAAACAAACATGAAATTCATAATCTGTGTAATCTTGTTAGTTCACACACTCCTTTTCATATACAGAGCTTTGGAATTTGACTCATCCCCCTGCTGAGACCATGATGTCTTCAATGCTGATGCTCCCTACAAATGATGGGAAGGTTTCTTGGAAGATTGATTAAATCAAGTTACGTATTTTCAGGCTTCAGATTGTTTAAAATGTTGGAAGGAGGGAGAAAAATAAATAATTGATGGATCTGTTCATTTGGGGTTTTTCACCTTCCAGCAAAACGTTCTGAGAAAAAAAAAAATCCTTATTTATATTTAGAGAGACAGTCTTCTTAAAATCAGTATTTAGTATGATATTTAAAATAGATGGTGCAAAAAAGTGGGAACTTTAGAAAGAAGATTATATTCCATTTTATGGTTGAATAATATCTGGTACAACAGCCTGAGTAAGTTCTGCGGTACCAAGCATGACAAAGGTATGAAGAAAAAGAAAAGAAAAAGAAAAGCACAGTAACTGCAGAGAAATCCTCACCTTCCTGGACACCCATCACCCCCAGTGACAGCCTGGAAGGCCAAAGCACTACAGAAGAAATCATCCAGGCTGGCATTTGGTGCTTGGAGGCAATGTCAAGTTTCCCAGCAGAGGTGCTAATCACTGCCAGTTGTCATTACAGCTCAGGCTGGGGCTGCTCAGTCGCCAGGAACGGCTCCAAAGCCTCGAACGTAGCGCAGAGGAATCTTCTGGTGATATTTCTGTTCCAGCACCAAGTGCACATCCCTGTTTATAGCTGCACAGTGAAGTGCACAGGATGGGGAGAGTAAAACACAGCCACCTTGGTGTGACACTGAGAGGATGGATTAAATACGGGCTTTGGTGCTGAGCTGGAGGGAGAAATAACCAAGTGTGACGGTGTGGTAATGAAAGTGCACCTCTGAAGAGAGGCATGCACAGAGAGTGTGTCTAACAGGACAGGCAGGAGGAGAAGTTCAGATGAAAAATGAATTTACCTTCCCTCTACTGTCACAGGTAAAATAGAAGGATTGGTACCCATCCAATAGTCCTGTTTTCCAATCACCTTTAATCTCTTTGTTTTCTCTGCTCAGCTGCCCGAGGGCAGGATGAGACCTTAAAATCTGTCATAAACAACAAGGTACAAAGAGAATCCTACAACTCCCTGAGCAAAGAGTGTTTTCTATCACAAGGCTCAGCTTTTCATCTGCTTAGGCTTTGCTGTTTAGAACAAGAACAGGGTGCAGAGCTTCAATAAACCATCTGGCTCTTCCCCATCCTCCAAATCCACTCAATGAGCCAGTTTCACTGGTCATTGTAAAGCCAGTATCCTTTCACTCCCCAAATATATTCCTCTTAGTTTCTTCTGTCTCCACTTCTATAAATAAGATTATAAAACACAATGTGCAGTCCTTTCCAAGGCTTTCATATTCAAACTTGAAGTAAAGATGTAATATTCAAAATATTACATCTCAACATGGTAACCAGTAAGGACATGAGGCTGTCTCTTAAAAAGGAAAGAAATATTCTGAAAAGTCTATGCAAGGACTTATTTTTGAAGAAATATCCAGAAAAAAAAAAAAGTATTGCTGTTACTGACATTCATGATCTTGAAATCTGTGGCCTTTAAAAGACTGAAATTTAATGGGTATGAATGTTGAACTTGGAGAAAATGTAGTGCAAACCAAAAGGGCAAGTGATGCTACTGTTAGCAATATACTACAAGCACAAGACATCCTCCTATTTCCCCTCTGTACAAGTGAGATCTAATTCAAAGTGATCTTTCTGATTCACTCTTTTCATGTTTTCAAGTGTGGTGAATTTCACACTCTCATTTTCTTCCCCAAGCAGCTGCATTTTGATTTAGGGTGAAGAAGTGGGGTTAACTTTTACCTGTTTGCTGCCATTTTGAGCATTTTCATGATTTTCACCATTGCACCTTTGCTTTGTCTCAACTGATCCCCGGAGATGCAGCCCATAAAAAATAGAGTCTCCCTTTTGTTTAGACACAAAGGTACCAAAAAAAAAAAAAAATTATATTGAATTTGACTTAAAGGACTACTCTTAGCAAGGCCTTCTAAATACACTAGGATGAGACTAATTTTTGTGCACAACTAACAGGACCTTGATATTTAAAACCTTGTTTCCAAGACAACAGAGTCTGAGACTTCATTTCTCGGAGCTGGAAGATAGAAAGACTGATTCTGTCTTTCAGACACCTGGATTTATGGTTACACAAACGTAGAATCACAGATCTGAGGTTGGAGACAGCTTCCAAACAGAGCTGACTGCCATCAGTGGCAGAGGAAGCTTGAGTAATATTCAAAACTAATGGATTTTATGCACTGATTGATTTCAGAAGAAAAATGGACCATTTTCATAATCTTTAATCTGTTTTGTAGCACAAACCATAAGAGTCAAAAAAAAATCCCAATATATTTTTTTTCAAATACATTATCTCTACTACATTCATCTAACTCAGAGGAAGTTTTCCAGTGAAGAAAAATCTTTCACAATCCCAGATAAATCACACAATAAATATATGCTTTCCTCTTTTGAGATGCATGTTTTATTTCTAATATGAATGTGGTGACTTTCAAATTCCAGGCATTGGAATACATATATATTTTTTAATATCCCTCTGGTTGTTTGATTGAAGAGCTTGCTGTGAACAAAATATCTTCCATCTATGTCATTTTTTAAATCTTTTGTGACTGCAGTTTGAAAATGTGAATTATACAAGTATAAGGAATAAAATGGCATATATATGCAGATTTAGAAATGGTATTTGTTTCATATTTCACCAACTCAAATGTACTTGATGAAGATAGAAACCCCACTTTGCTATGCACTTAACAATTGTAAGATGCAATTACAAGAATTTCAGCACTGTGAACACCAAGTCAAGCTAACCTTGTAATGAGAGCAAAGACTGAAGAGATGAAAAGATACTCCCCTGTTTTTTACAATGAAAATTCCTTCTAATTCTAGAAGACAAGGAGAAAAAAAACCCAGACTTTACAAGGTGCTTTTAAATCCAACTCCAAACCATTCTGTACATTTGTTTTGCTCCCACTGCAGCCTGAGTGACTCAGCTGCAAGCAGCACGTGAGAGCCTCAATCAGAGACCCTCTCTCACTGCAGGTCTTCAGTTGTTTGGTGATTTACAGTAAAATCTAACACTTCAAATTCAATCTGAGGAGCAGCAGGCACTCAGTGGAAACACTGGACCCCAGGACACCCTTTGGAGATAGGATGTTTCAAAAGGTGAGGGGATTCTGCACCAAATCTGGTTTTACAGAGGACACGAAATGTTGCAGCACTTTGGATTTTACTCCAATGGCTGCCCCAGAGGTGATGGTGGCTAAACCTGACAAGTCTGACAGAGGAGAAGAGCATTAATACAGTTACATTAATACAACATTAATACACCCAAACAGTTGGGGCTGAGGACCCCACAGTCATTTTGCTGAGGTTTTCTCCCAAGGATTGAAAATCCCTTAATGACATAATGGAAGAGAAATGGAGTTAATAATAGAATGAAATATCCTGAATTGGAAGGAGCTCACAAGGATTATCAAAGTCCAACTCTTGGTCCTACAGGAGATCCCCAAGAGTCACAACTTGTTCCTGAGAGCATTATCCAAATGCTTCCTGAATTCTGTCAGGCTTGATGTGAGAGACTGAAATGGTTAATGGCTTAAACATTGTTAAAAAAGGACTTGGCCATTATGGCAAAATTGTATGGAGAAACTGTGAGCACCAAAGCCCTCTTCAAATGTGGCTCCTGAGGGGAACTGGGCTGTGAGTTAAGCCACCTTGATGGGAACTTGAGCAAAGGTAAAGGTGGTACCATTGTCCAGGTCTAAAGAGAGGTGTAGGGAGAGCTGAACAAGGCTGGGGGAGAAGAATCAGCTCAGTTTGATGGGGAGAGGAGAGATTTTGGGTGTGTGACAGAGGGAGTGAGCACCCACCTTATTGGTGCAGGGCAACCTCACTGTAGGGAATAATGTGCTGTGACTCCACGATTCAGAAGGCTGAACAAATGCTTTATTAAGCTATACTATATTACACTAATACTATATTAAAACTATACTAAAGAGATACTACTAAAGAAAAACCCATGGCCCTTACAAGATAGACACAACAGAGCTTTGACCCAACTGGCCAATCAATCCAAACAACCATCAGCAGAATCCAATTAACAAATCACTCTTGGTAAACAATCTCCATAACACATTCCACATGTGCCAAACAACAGGAGGAGCAAGTAGAGACAAGAATTGTTTTCTTGTCTGAGCTTCTCACTGCCTTCCCCAGGAAAAATCCTGGGAGAGAGAATGATGTCTCTCTCTGTTCGGAGAATGTGGATACAAAACCACCCTGCCTTACACAAACTGGCTCAGTTGTAAAACCCACCCACCCTGGGGTGGCCACATCCACAGGACACTCATGTGAGGGGCAGCAGGGGAGGGCTCATAAACCATCAGAAAACCATCAAAGAGCCCCAAAACACCCCCTGACTCATTGCTGAGGCCCTGCAGCAGAGAACTGCACGTGATGCAAAGTGAACCTGCTGCACCAGAGAGCTTCAAACTTGTCCCCCAGGGGAGGCACCGGGCATTGCCAGGTGGCCCAAACACCCATTAACCCATTGAGCTCTGGGTTTGTGGGACCCTCACCACTGAGAAGACCAGAAGAAGGGGGATCAATGAGATGCTGTCAGGATCCACAGAGTGCTGGTATTTTCTGCTTGATCTGTCTTTCACTCTTTTTCTCTCCCACCCTGCCCCTCTTTTTCTTTCTCTCTCCCTCACACTACTGTTAAATAAAATCCATTTTATCAACCTCATCCTATGGTCTTGTTTGCACCTTAACACAGGCAGAGGCATCTCTCTAACAATTTTAATAACCAGAACTCTACACCTGGTGCTGTGACCACTGCCCTGGGGACCCTGTTGCAGTGCCCAACCACCCTTTGGGTGAAGAACCTTTTCCTGATATCCAACCTAAACCACTCCTGACACAGCTCCAGCCACTCCCTCGTGTCCTAAGGTGCTCCCAGAGAGCAGCTCCAGGCATCACCCTAAAGAATCAAGTTCACAGATGTTTAAAGTCTTCTCTGTAACTTGAACTAAAACATGGCAAGAGGAAACACCTGGACATTGGCTCCAATAGTGCACTCCTGACCCAAACAAATGTAATGCTCAATTGATGTAGATGCCTCTGAAGAAGAGGTTGCTAATGGCAAAGGCCATGTTTAAAACCAGTAAATAACAGTAAAGTGGCCTTGGAGATTCATAAGAATGAGAAAAGTTGCCATTGTGAGTCCTTCTGGGTGTAGAGAGCGTTTCTGGCCAATAACTGAGGGAATTTCATAAGCAGCTATGAAAACACAAAGTGCAATTTCATCCCTACACAGTAATAGAAAAGGTGTTGGAATGAAGTTATTTTCTGTTTTATTTCTATGTTCTATAATTATACTCTTAAATTCATTTATACTACTTCTTAACTTGTGAAAGAGATCTTTTTCTTCTGTATATATAATAATAATAGTCCTCAATGAAAAAATGAGTCTCCTTTCTCCTCCAGAGGGACAATAAATTCTCCCCTTTTGAGGGAAAAAGAGAAGAACAGAGACTATCCACCCTTTCTTTCAGCTTACTAAAAGTAATATTACCAACCAAAATTAATTTCAAAAGTGGCTTTATTTACTCTCTGGAATGAGGGGACTCACCTCAGATAAATTCAATCTTTCACAGCTTGCACCACACAAACAATCACTGCCTGAAAATAATTGTGTCAGATGCTCTAAAAAGTTTGCAAGATTGGATTTTTTTCCTTTTTTGCAATTCTGAAAAAGTTTTACCACCTGAATTAAAGGGTGCACAATATTTGACAGATTAATAGATGAAAATATTCTAAAGGCTTTTATAGCCTCACCCTTTAATTATACATCCCATTTCAGTGTGAGATGTTCAGATGGAAATGTTAAAGAGTATCTCAAAGTGAAACTAATTTTGTTTTCTGCAGCAAATAAGGTTCTGATTCAGCAAACTCTGGTCTGTGTAAGCTTATATATGTGGATTTTTCCAGTTAACTCACATGGATAATGAGTCCATTTATGTGCTTTAATTCTCTGCCTGGGTAAGGAGTATTACATTGAGCTCCATAAATAAGTTAATTTTCTGAAGGCAAAAATAAATCTTCCTAATCTGGGCAAACAGAATTCATTAACTCATATCATACAATGGGTGGAAAGTTGTAGTGATATAATGGCAAAAGTAATTTGGGATTTTCCTAAGGAGACTGAGAAGCCTGAATGCTGATCACCTCTCCAGGTTCACAGAAGTGTCAGGCAGTGACCAAGGAAGCGATCAGGCCTTCAAAATTCAAAATTTAAACTTAAAAACATCTCACCAGGATGGACATTTCATGGCAAACTCTTGGAGATAACTCTGATGTGTAGGGGAGGGGAAAATTGGGTTTGTAGGAGATCTCACCTGATGATTGAGTCTGTGCCACAATCACAGTTTGAAATGACTAGAAAAGGTTAAAGTGTGCTAAGCAATTGTCCTTGTCCTAAGAAAATTTGGAAACTGTTGTTCCTGTCTAAGGAACTGGAAAATCAAAGGGAAAACAGAGATCCTTTACTATGCAGATCTTTCATTTTCCAGAATCATCGAATGCTGGAATGGTTTGGGTTGGAAGGGACCTTAAAGCCCATCCAGTCCCACCCCTGCCATGGGCAGGGAACCTTCCAGGCTGCTCCAAGCCCTGCCCAGCCTGGCCTTGGACATTCCAGGGATCCAGGGACAGCCACAGCTTCTCTGGGCACCCTGTGCCAGGGCCTAACCACCCTCACAGGGAAGTAATTCAAGCAAAGATTTCCTTCCCTTTCCCTTCCCTGCCAATCCTCTAACACTGCACACCCAGAGAACAGGATGGCTTTGCCCCCACCACAAGCCAGGACTATAATTCAGGCCACATGGGATAAGCACTGGGTATGAGAATGGAATTTATGTTTGGCAGTAATAAAATTAAGCTTGTCAAAAGCTTTTTCTGTAAATGTTAATGCATAGTGGCAGATGACTAAAATGGAGCTATTTTGGAGTGTTCCAACTGCCTGAAGTCTTACATCAGTGCCATAATTCACTCACAACCACAAGTGCACACTACCTGTTTGCTCAAAGGGGTCAGTTGATGTTTCAGCCCTGTTATTTGCCTCAATAGTTTCCTCTGTGATTTTCTCCATAGATTTACTTGTACATGGCTTTCATTAGGGCAGATTCAAGGCAATTTGTGTTTCAAATAACAGTTTCAGTTGCTCAAGAGTTGTCCAAACCAGGTTTGGTTTGCTGTTTTTCTTTTTTAAATCTTTGTCTGCTGACTCAAGTGAAAAGCAACACGCACCTACTATCACAATAATGATGCTGTTCGGTGGTGTCGTTTATTTGTTTGTTTATTTTATTAAAAGATGTCTAAACAAATTGAATCAACTGGTTAGTCAACACTGAAATGACACGTTTTTTACCTTGGTAAACATTTAAAACCATCCCTTCAGCGGCTCACTGAAGCAGCAAGATAATTTATTCATTTAGATTTTAACCAGACCTACCTCACATCCCAGGCACCACACATACATTGGGAAAAACCCCAAATAAACAAAAAATCCACACAAACTTTGAAGAGCTTGGCAAATTAATCCTATTACTATGGAAACAGTAATGGCGTTTGCATCTATTGGCAGTTGTGATCAAATTTTCTAGCTGATTAACATACTAATTGTGATTCATCCACTAAAAAACCTCATCTCTTTATTTACCAATTCTTTTGTTGTTGTACATACTTCTGTTTCATGCATGTTTCAATGTCAATCTTTTCACTGTCAATCTGGTGCATGCTTCAATGTCAATCTTTTCTGCCCTATTACAACATGAGGCTGATTCCAAGGAGCTTTTGCATTCCCCTTATCCATGAGACCTCCCTGTAAAGCCCAGCTTTTCTCTCTCCCCAGGTGCTTGGCTTACCCTGATCATCAGGACAGCTTTCCTGATGTCCCGCACACCGTCGTAGACCAGGCGGGAGGCGTCGATGAACTCGTTCTCCTCAAAGGGCTGGGGCACGTTGGCACTCAGGGCCTCAATGGCCACCTCCACTTGCTCAGCAAAACGGGGCATCACTGGGTTGGACACAAGAAAAGGCAGCAGGATTAGATGTGTGTTCTCTCCTGAATGCTTTGCTGCTGCTCTGGGGCATGGATAGTTTCCAGGAGGAACGGCACACGCTGTGCTGGAAATTCCACAGGGAGCTCAGGGATGGGTTTGTACCCACCCTGCACGTGGACAGCTCTGGCACTTGATCCGACAGCATGGAAATAACCATCCCTACATTCTCTCCTCCAATTGTGCAACAAAGAATAGAAAACTTCCTTCCAAAACTTTGATTTACTAACTTTTAAAAGGCTGCAAGATACCTGAGCAGGCAGTAAAATTCATTTAAGAGCTTTACAACCTGTAAAGAGCACAACAAATATTTGTATCAAGTGATCAAAACAAACTGTAGCCATTATGCCTGCTAATTTACATAATTTGCACTCTAGCTCATACTAAATAATAATAATTTTATAAGAGACAAAATGCAAAATCAAGGATATACTTTTGTGAAGACACCTAAATGAATCTTCTGTTTCTTTGCTACCACCATGTATATAACACAAAACACAGCCACAGATATTGGCTAAAAGTTTTATAAACTGTGGTATGAACTTATTTAATATACAATCTAAAGCTATTATTTACCTTTGTAAATGGTTTCAGAGCATTGCTTGAAGTAGCAAGAGATTTTTCTACAAATTTCATAGAAGATTCCTTTGAAGGCATAATCACTTTCTGCATGTTGTGTTTGCAGGAAAATAACTATTCCCCAAATCAGTCCCCTAACAACTCAAATCTTAAAAACATGAACATCAGGTCCCACTGATTATACTGCACCTCCATTCCTGTACTTGTTTACTCCTCTTCAAAATTTTAAAATCAATATTGGAGGACTGTGCTCATAGAGGACAAACATAATCAATGTTTCATTAGAAACCTGGATAAAAGATGCAGTTGGATTAATTCTTAAGAATTTAAGGCACTAGGGTCAAGGTCAAGACTTACAGGCTGCCATCTTTTCATCATGTTCACATCACTTTTATTCCAGCATTTAGGCATCCAGATCATGTATCACTGACTTTACTGTTTTGGCAATATAAGCAGAAGAACAGGAAATGATGATTCCCACCACAGTTATTGCCTTTTTTTTGTTGTTAAAATACTACCTTTTTTGCCCATCTTTTCCCTAAACCCTATTTTTAGTACACTTATTGGTAACCTGAACCCAACTGATGAATACAAAGGGGAATCTCCAGTGTTATTTTCATCAAGAGCAGTGACATTCTTTCCTAGGAACTTCTACTGTCATAGGAAACCACTTTTTCTTCTTGACTGAATGTTCTTAAATTCATTTTACAGAATCTGACTTAAAGTAAAACCACAAAAACACATGATTTAAGAATAGTTTACATTTTGAAGAAGAGGCAGCAACCATGAGCTCAAACTTTCTGTTTCTGGCATTTAAATATTATGCATTGGATGCAAATGAGAAAACCTTTAAAGGGATATAAGGATTCAAATATAGTTTATACATCACTATATATATATATATATATATACATATATATATATATGTTCACATAGACAGATGAAAGAACAGATTTGTATTTTCCATGCAGATAATGCTCAGTAAGTTCCTGGATACACTGGAGAAACAGGAAAAAGTGACAGCAACAATAGACTTTAAAAAAGTAAACATTAACAAAACATTGCCAGGCAGAGGGGAAACATTTTAATTAGAAAAGGAGTTTAAGAGAGATGAAAGTTTTGGAAAGCATATTTAATAAATGCATATATCAAATTACCTTAATTAAAAGAACACTTGAAAGTGTAGTAGGAGACTAATATGATTGCATAAGTAAGTCTCAAGCCTGAATATCAAAAAAGCAATCATTAAAAATACAATCTAAACAAGTAAACCTAAAGAATAAACCAGAAATTATTTTGGGTTGTTGGGATAAAACAAGTAATGCTAGAGATGCGATAATGCCAAAAAAAAAACAAAAAGAGAGGTAAAGAACCTTAATATTTAGGGTTAAATTAAATTAAACCTTAAATTTCAGTTTATAACTTCTTAACTAGCAGAGGTGGTCAGGTATTTGATATAAGTAATAGTAGGTGCAACAGGCCTGAATTAGGAATGGATGGTTTGAAGAACATCTACATAAGCATAAGGAAATTTATCTTTTACATAGGTGTTCAAGTTAACAGAGTGAAGTAAAATTTACCCTGTAGTTTTTAAGACAAAAAATAAAGCAATTTCTGAACCATTTTCAGAGAACTCAAGAAAAACATTAATGGTGGAAATTCCAGAGATTTGTTAAGAAAAAAAAAAAAAAAAAGCACTTGTCTATTTTAGATAAAGGCATATAATCCTAATCCTTATATAAAGGTTCTTGTAAAGGTAGAGAAGAAAGGAAGGAAGATTTATACTATATTCAACATAATTTTAGTACTCAGAAATAAAATTAAACTTGACATGGAGCAATTAATGTTTAATTATCTGTAAATAATCAGCAGATGCTGGACAGGCAACAGATTTTGGCAATAAGTTGCACCAAGCTTTTAGAATATCTCCCTTGACAGGGTAGTGATGGGGGGAAGCAGATACAGCTGGGTTTGTCATGGCCACATGTGACATTCTTAGAACAAAACAAGGGAAATTTAAATTAAAGGGTTGTAAGGTGGAAAGTTACACTTTATTCATATTCCTGAACACGAGGCATTAATTCCTGACCACATTTATTACCTCCACTGGGTGTGGAAGCTCCTCTGATCTGTTCTGATTTTGCAGACCTGGCTATAATTTAGTCCCTAATTTAAAATACGACATGTAAACATTATCTGCTGCTTCAAAGTGGGAATAGATATTAAAATGCTTTATGATTGCTTGCTTGCCAATGGTACTATTACATCAGTGCTCACTTTTGATTGGGCAAGCAAGGAAAAAACACCTTCAATAGGCATCTATTACTTATTGCTTCTCTAAGCATATGTTGTCATTTAATGTAGGAAGTTTTTGAAAATAGAAAATTCAGTGGAGAAATGTATTAATCTCCAGTTAAGGTTATTGAGCTCCATGAAAAAATAAAAAACCTCCAGTCTTTCTTCTCTGTATTTACCACACAAAGAAGGATACTCCTGTGCCAAAGGTGAAAGAACCACAAGTAAAATTCAGGCAAAGGCGTGTATTTGAATCTGGAGTTAAAACTTGCAAATGTATCAGACAGAGAATGATTCATTTATTAGGCACAGAGGAATTGGCTATAAATTTTAGATTCAGAAGTAAATCAATACTTCTGGGGAAAAATTAAACATTGGTTTCTTAGTTTGAGCTGTGGCCTTAAAAACAGTCACACATATGCTTAGACTGAAAAATGTGGTCCATTAAAATCTCTCAGCCTAACTACATGAATTAATTAGGCACCTGCATAAATGTTGACAGAATCAGGTCCCAAGTTAATAGCAACACTTCTAATTCACTGACTTTGTAATTCCAACAAAATAAAGATTTGAAAGCCTTTCTGTGGATGAGTTTCCAATGGCACTGAAAGCAAGACCAATGCCAACAAAGTCTAGGTTGAATGGCTGCTGGAGAAAAATTTGGAATCAGAAAAGTTGAAATTATTTCCATTTTATCAACTGATCAATTCTTTTGAATTATACTTTTTTTCTTTTGGCTGATGTATAATAGAAACCCAGCATGTCACCATGTGTGAATTCATGCCTTGATCAAACTTGTATTTTTTTTTTGTGAACCCCTCTGTTCCACAAAGAAAATATTTTCTCTAAAGTTTTTGTTTTTCTCCCACCCACCCATATCTCCTACATATTAAAGTTATCAAGTAATTACCTCTTTCCTAAAAATATATTCCCCGTTGACTTTTTCTCCTATGGCAATCAGTTTGTACTGCAATTTTTGTACTTAGAAACTTCCCTGCAAATTTTGTTTAGTGATATGGGAACAATAAGATCCCTGATAGACAGAGAAATGCTAGGTTACATAATAAAATTATTGAGATAGAAATTAAAAAAATGTTTGGGCGTTCTTGTTCGTAGCATTGGAACAAAAAGTTTCATTAATATGCAAGATTAAATGAATGCCTTGCTGATTTATTGTACTTTTATGGCCTTATTATTTAGGAACTTGAATTCCTCAGAATCTTAAGTAGATGTGAATGTTCAGAAATGTGGAAAGGGATAATTAAGACACAAGAAAAAGCAATAAAGGTCAAGGACCCTTCAGGTGCACAGTTTCTAATTCTTAGTAGCATCAATGGGAGTGAGGAAATTTGTCTGGTTTTGTCTCACATCATACAACTGAAAGTTTTAAATCTTTCCTTATACCAGGCAGAGAACAGTAGATGCTTCCATGAGAAAATTAATCACTCCTATCCTACTTTAAAGACTCAGGTTCACCTGGATAAAATTCCGATTTTCCTCTGCCACTGAACAGAGGGGGAGGTGTTTGGCTTCTGATTTAGACAACCAAGTTTAGGCATAAATCACCAAATCCTGACACACTTTTGGCTCTGAATCAGGCTGAGCACAACGTGGCTCCTTTCCATCCCAACCTCACTGGAACTGAAGGGTTCCCAGGGGTATCATCTTTGGGGCATTTTTCTGGCCAGCTGACAAGTTTTGAGAAGCACCAGCAGAGCAATTTCTTAGAGCTTCATTTTGAAAAAATGAGCACCTACCTGGAATTTTTATAATCCAGGGATTTGGATCCAAGGGAAGCACCCTTCTCAAAGGCCAGGGATTGTTCCCTAGAGCCAGAATGTCCTCATACAAATCAGACATTTGAGCAGCAGAGAAATGACTGCTCCCTGTACCCACTGCACCATCTCTGCCCTCTGGCTGCCCCTCATACCTCTGTATTTGCTTAAGCATTTCTATCCATCCTTAACAAAACTGATTTTCCCTATGCCATGCTGATAGAGACACATCATTTAAGGTGCCAATCACATTATTTATGTAGCCCTCGAATGGCTTTAAAAATCTGGTCAGTTGTGGGTAAGATTAT